AGCCACTGTGTCAATCCATCTCATTGAGGGTCTTCCTCTTTTTCGCTGACCCTCTACTTTACCAAGCATGATGTCCTTCTCCAGGGACTGGTAAACATGTCCAAAGTATGTGAGATGTAGTCTCGCCATCCTTGCTTCTAAGGAGCATTCTGGCTGTGCTTCTTCCAAGACAGATTTGTTCGTTCTTCTGGCAGTCCGTGGTATATTCAATATTCTTCACCAACTCCGTAACTGAAAGGCATCAATTCTTCTTTGGTCTTCCTTATTCATTGCCCGGCTTTCACATGCATATGAGGTGATTGAAAACACCATGGCTTGGGTCAGGCACATCTTAGTCCTCAAAGTAACATGTTTGCTTTTTAACACTTTAAAGAGGTCTCCTGCAGCAGATCCATAAATATTACAGCCTTGGAAACCCTATGGGGCAGTTCTACTCTGTCCTATAGGGCGACTGTCAGTTGGAATCGACTTGACAGCAATGGGTTTGGGTTTTTTTGTGTGTGACCTAGGGAGGGAGTCCCTGGGTGGGGTAGACAGTGTACACACTCATCTGCTAACCCAAAGGTTGGACGTTCGGATCAATCCAGAGGTGTCGCAGAAGAAAGGCCTGACAGTCTACTTCCGAAAAATCAGCATTGAAAACCCTTTGGAGCACAGGTCTACTCTGACACACATGGGGTCTCCGTGAGTCGATGTCGACTCCACGGCAACTGGTATTTTAAACCAGGGAGAGTGGTGGCTAGCAGGTCACAGTTTCCTGCTGGCCTAGGGGGTCACTTGGGAGGGAGGGAGCCATCAGCTCTGTACTGGAGCAGGGCTATCCAGTGGAAATACAATGTGGCCACTTGTGGGGTTTACAACTTTTCAGTAGCCATGTTAAAAAAAAAAAAAGGGAAGAGAAACAGGTGAAAGTAATTTTAATAATATATTTTAATGAACTCAATACTTCCAAAATATTATCATTTCAATGGGGTGTTATTGTTGTTAGGTGCCGCTGAGTCAATTCCAACTCATAGTGACCCCATGTGACAGAGCAGAACTGTCCCATGGGGTTTTCTAGGCTGCAGTCTTTATGGAAGCAGATCCCCAGGTCTTTCTCCTGCAGAGCTACTGGGTGACTTCCAACTGCTGACCTTTTCTGGGTAGCAGCCGAGCTTATAAATGGGCTGTTTTACATTCTTTTTCTCCCTTCCTTCCATCCTTCCTTCCTTCCTTCCTTCCGTCCTTCCTTCCCTCTCTCCCTCCCTCCCTCCCTCCCTCCTTCCTTTCTCCCTCCTTCCCTCCCTCCCTTTTTTTACTAAGTCTCAAAAAGCTCGTGTGTAGTTTGAATTTATCACACGTCTCCATGTGAACTGACCACAGTTCAAGTGCCCCGTAGCCACGCGTGGTCAGTGGCCGAGGTACTGGATAGCCAAGTTCTAGAAAGTCAAGAGGGCGTCAGCTCGGGGGATTACATTAGAATCCCCTGGGGGGGGCGCTTTTAAAAATGATAGTTGCTAGGGTGGGGTTCTGGGTGTGGGTATTTGTTACAGGTTGCATCCTGTCCCTCCAAAAAAGATAGGCTGACGTCCTAACCCCTGGTGTCTGTGAACATGACCTTGTTGGAAATAGCGTCTTTGAATATTTTATCCGTTAACACGAGGTCACACTGCAGTGAGGTGGGCCGTAAATCCAATATGAAAACCAAAGCAGCTGCCATCAGGTTGACTCCAAGGCACGGCAACCCCACGTGTGTTAGAGTAGGAGTCTGTTCATAGGGTTTTCGATGGCTGAGTTTTCTGAAGTAGATTGCCAGGCCTTTCCTCTGAGTGCCTCTGGATGAACTCAAACTTCCAGCCTTTCAGTTAGCAGCTGATGGTGTTAATCGTTTGCATCACCCAGGGCCTCCAATATGAGCGGTGTCCTTGTGAGAGAACGGGAGTCGGAGTCCACCTGATGGCAACTGGTTTTTTTTTGGAACATGGGTTATGGGTTGTGCCTAAGATGGAAAATTGGGGGGGACCCAAAGCTGGGTGCCACCATGGCATGAGGTGGCCTGTGCTCACCTTGGCTGCCAGGATGTGCCAGGCGTCCTCGTCCACGCGGACCACGCGGTAGTAGAGGGCGTCCCCACTGTCCACACAGTGTGAGTTGTCCAGGAAGCGGAAGCTGTGGCCGGGGCGGCAGGGGCCGGGGCAGCCCCCCGCGAGCCGGGTGTGGAGCCGGGCGTGGATGGCGCCGAGGCTGGCAAGCTGCCAGGCAGCGAGCGTGGCATGCACCGCCTCCAGGTTATGCAGGTCTTGGAAGAAGCGGCCCAGCTCGGCGTCGGGCGTGCTGAAGGTCAGCTCTGCGAGGGGGCTGGCTGGGCCCACCTGGCCGTCGCCCTCCTGGCTCTCGTCCACACTGTGGGACCCCAGGAGGGGCCCCTGAGGCTGCCCAGTGTGGGTGGGGCTGGGGCTAGAGGCCCCATAGGTGGGCAGGGACTGGGTTCGAATCAAGGTCTTCTTGGGCAGGGGTGGGGGCTTCGGGTCAGCCAAGAGGGAGCCGGCTGTTCGGAGGCGGTGGGCCTTGGAGGGCAGCAGGTTGGCGCGGCTCTCACCTGGGGAGGACAGAGGGCTGTGAGGACAGAGGGCTGTGAGACCCAGGACACCTGACTCCGCCCCTCGGCCTTGATGGTCCCATCTCTTAAGATGGGAATAATAATGGTCTGTGACTCTCCATGCCCTCTAGGGTAGGGATGATGTGCTGGGTTGAACCGTGTCCTCTCAAAAGACATGCCAAAGTCCTAAACCCCGGTACCTGTGAACATGACCTTGTTTGGAAATAGGGTCTTTGCAGATGTCATTAATTAAGTTAAAAACGAGGTTATACTAGAGCAGAAAAGCACCAAAAAGCCAGTCGTCATCGAGTCAGCTATGACTCCTGGTGACCCCAAGTGTGTTAGAACAGAACTGTGCCCCACAGGGTCCTCCGAAGGAGATTGTCAGGCCTTTCTTCTGGGTGGACTTGAACCTCCAACCTTTAGGTTAGTAGCCGAGCGCATTAACCAGACTCCTCCTGGGCTACGGTGGACCCTAAGTCCAATGGTTCTTGTCTTTATAAGAGAAAGGAGAGGGAAATTTGGACGGAGGGCAGACGGCCCCGTGAGCAGGAGGCAGAGACTGGAGTGATGTGGCCACAAGCCCAGGAATGCCTGAGGCCCCAGAAGCCGGGAGAGACAACCAAGGACTCTCCCCTGGAGCCTTCCCAGAGAGCGCCACCCTGCAGACGCCTTGATTTCAGTCATCCGGCTTCCAGCACCAGCAGAGGGTTAACCTCTGTGGTTTTAAGCCCCCTAGTGTGTGGTACCTTGTTACAGAAGCCCCAGGAAATGCGAGTGTTGTGGATTGAATTGTGTCCCCCCAAAGTACGTGTTGTAAATCCTAACCCCTATGCATGTGGCTGGAGCCTTAGTGGCGCAGTGGTTAAGAGCTTGGCTGCTAACCGAAAGGTCGGCAGTTCAAATCCGCCAGCTGCTCCTTGGAAACCCTATGGAGCAGTTCTACTCTGTCCTATAGGGTTGCTAGGAGTCGGAGTTGACTCGACGGCAACAGGTTTGGTTTTTGGTTTTAGTCCTGTGGTCATAATCCCATTGGGGAATCGGTTGTCTTGTTATGCGAATGAGGCAAGATTAGTGTAGGGTGTTCCTTGAGTCAATCTCTTACAAAACATAGAAGGGACAGATTAGGCAATCAGAGATGGGGAAGATGCCAAGTCACGTGGAGATCTCCAAGGAACCAGGAAACAAGCTGAAGAGACAGGGACGTTCCCCCAGAGCCGACAGAGAGAGAAAGCCTTCCCCTAGAGCCAGCGCCCTGCTTTCAGGCTTCTAGCCTCCTAGACTGTGAAGGAATGAAGTTCTGTTTGTTAAAGCCACCCCCTTGTGGCATTTCTGTTATAGCAGCACTAGATGACAAAGACAGCATACAGATGCCATCCTCAATTTGCAGATGAGGAAGCTGAGGCTCCTGGGAGGGACAGATCCTGCCCAGCACCAGGTGACCCTGTTTTCCTGTGTGGCTGCCCCCACCCCGAACCCTGATTTCCTCATTTCTGCCATCTGGTGGCCCCACCCCGCCCTGCCCAGCCACCTCCACAGGACTCGCCTCCCCCCTCCTCAAGCCACTCACCAAGGTTGCTGTATGTGGGCTGCGTGGACCAGGTGGGGACGTCGGGTGCGGGGGTCTCGGCGGGCCGCTCGGGGCTGTTCATGCTGCAGGGAGAATGTGGGAGTGGGGGCGTGTGGGAGTGGGCATGTGCGGGGTGGGGTGTCTGTGGGTACACGCAGGTGGATGTGGGCAAGGTTTTTGGAGGAAGAGACAGGGCCCTAGGTGAGAGTAGGGAACCCCAGCTCTGGTTCCTATCGCCCCCTTGCCCTGCCGTGGCACCCTGGGTGGCTCTGCAGCCTGTTTGGGATCATTCTTCATGTGTAAGACAACAATGTCACCATCAGCCCTCCAAGGGCATGAATGGACAGCGGCCCTGAGGCCAGGCCACCAGGGACAGCTGGGGTGGACCACAAAGGGTCCACCCCACACTTGTGCCTCCTCCCAGAGTTCATCCCCCAGCCCCCCAACTCCAGCTCACCCCAAATTCAGAGAGTTGCCCTTTCTGCCATTCCCTATCCCAGCCCACCCCCCCAGTAGCCCCTACCTCAGGACAGGAGTCTGAAACAGGTCCCAAGCGACTAACGGGGGAGGGGTCCTTGGGGGACCAACTCTCAGTAGCTGCAGCCACTGGCCTCGGGGGTGTCTGGCCGAGTGTCAGGAACAGGAAATATCTGGGCAACTGTTTGACCGCAGGCTGGGGCTCAGGGGGAGGGCGGGGGCCTGTTTGCAGCACTTCCCCAGCCTGGGGCCCACACCCCTGTCCATCCTCACAGGACAGGAAGTAGAAGGAATGGCATTCCAGGCAGAAGGAACAGCCTGGGAAAAGACCTGAACGTCAATGATTCTCTTGACGACACTACGCTGAACGAAAGAAGCCAGCCACAAAAGGACAAGGATTGTGTGATCCCACTTAAGGGAAGGACCCAACGGGAAAGAGCATGGAGACCAATGTGGATCGGTGGTTACCTGGGGCGGGAGGGGCCCTGCTGGCGCAACGGTGAAGCACTCGGCTGCTAACTGACAGGTCGGTGGTTCGAATCCACCCAGTGGCTCCATGAGAGAAAGGCCTGGCAACGTGCTCCTGTAAAGGTCACAGCCCAGGAAACTCAATGGGGCGGTTCTACTCTGTCACATGGGGTAGACTGAGGCACTCAACAGCAGCAACAACCAGGGTGGGAGGGGTGAGGGGGAAAGGAAGACCCCATGTTTAGGGGGCACCGAGGTTCTGTGAAGGGGACTGAAGAGCGGTGACGGCTGGGCAACATGATGAACATAACTGATGTCACTGAAAGGCACGTGAAGATTGTTGAAATGGCCAGTGTTTTGTTGCATATATATTTACCATAATAAAAGTAACTCGAAAGATTAGATAGGAACCTTAGGGAGCAGTGAGTTCCTGTTAAGGGGGAGGAACAACTCAGAAAAGGAGGCTGAGAATGGTTGCACAACTCGACAAATGTAATCAATGTCACCGAATTGTACATGTAGAAACGGCTGAATTGGTGTATGTTTTGCTGTGTGTATTTGCAACAACAACAACAAAGCAAATAAAATTTAGGGAAAAAAAGTAAATGGTTCTACGTGGTTGTTAGTTGCCTTTGGGTCAATTTCAACTCATGGCGACCCCACATGTACACAGTAGAACTGCTCTATAGGGTTTTTTTTTTTTAAATAACTTTTTTGGTTGTTGTTGTTGAGAAAAAACACAGCAGAATATACACCAGTTCAACAGTCTTTACATGTACAACCCAGTGACACTGATTACATTCTTCAAGTTGTGCAACCATTCTCACCCTCCTTTTCTCGGTTGTTCTTCCCCATTAACATAAACTCACTGCCCCCTAAGGTTCCCATCTAATCTTTCCAGCTGCCATTGTCAATATGATCCCATATAGATAGATCTTAAAAGAGCACAATGCTCAAGGCAGACATTCTTTACTAAATAAGCTAAACTATTTTGTTTTAAGAAGACTTTAGGGGATATTTTTGGTTTAAGGTTTAAAGATTATCTCAGGGCAATAGTTTTAGGGGTTTATCCAGCCTCCACGGCTACAGAAAGTCTGGAGTCTATGATAATTTGAAATTCTCTTTTGCATTTCCCCCCTTTTGATCAGGATTCCTCTATAGAATCTTTGATCAAAATATTCAGTAATGGTATCCAGGCACCATACAGTTCTTCTGGTCTCATGGCAAATGAGAATGCTGTTTATGGAGGCAATTAGTCACACATTCCATTTCCTCCTCAGATTCCTGACTCCTTCCTCTGTTGCTCCAGGTGAATAGAGACCAATTGTTGTAACTTGGATGGCCGCTTGCAAGTTTTTAAGATCCCAGGCACTAAGCAATGAACTGGGAAGTGGAACAAAAGCACTTAACACATAACTAGGCCAATTACCTGGGATGTTCCATGAAACCATGATCCTAAACCTTCAAATCAAGGAATCGAATCCCGTGAGGTGTTTGGTTCTACATAAGCTACTCTTTTTTTTTTTTTATTGTACTTCAGGTGAAGGCTTACAGAACAAATAGTTTGTCATGAAACAGTGGTACACATATTGTTTTATGACATTGGTTAACAACCCCACAACATGTCAACCCTCTAACTTCTCAACCTTTTTTTTTTGGTGAAAATACACATAGCCAAAGATACACCATTTCAAAAATTTCTACATGCACAGTTCAGTGACATTGACTATGCTCTTCCAATTGTGCTGCTATTCTCACTTAAGATGAAGGCCCACAGAACAAAGTAGTTTCTCATTTAACAGTTACTACACATGTTGCCCTATGACAATGGTTAACAATCTCACAACACATCAACAATATCCTTACTCAACCTTGGGTTCCCTATCACCAGCTTCCATGTCCCCTTCTGCCTTCTGGCCCTTGTCACTGGACTACTGTACCTCATTAGTCCCATTTGGTTTTACGGGGCTGTCCACTCCCAGGCTGAACGGTGAACCTCAGAGATAACTTCACCACTGAGCTAAAAGGGTGTCTGGGGGCCATACTCTCGGGGTTTCTCCAGTCTCCTTTAGGCCAGTAAATCTGGTCTTTTTTTTGTGAGTTAGAATTATGTTCTACATCCTTCTCCAGCTCTGTCCAGAACCCTCTGTTGTGATCCTGGTCAGAGCAGTCAGTGGTGGTATCCGGGCACCATCTAGCTGTACTGGACTCAGTCCGGTGGAGGCCTTGGTAAGCTACTCTTTTTTTTGTCATTGTTATAAATATGTCTGTCTTAGTCATTAGTGCTGCTATAACTAAACACAAGTGGATGGCCTTCAACAAAGAGAAATTCATTCTCTCACAGTGGAGTAGGCTACAAGTCCAAATTCAGGGCATCAGCTCCAGGGGAAGACTTTCTCTCTCTGTTGGCTGTGGAGGAAGGTCTGTGTCACGCATCAGTCTTCGCTTGGTCTGGGAGCCTCTCAGCGCAGGAACCTCGGGTCCAAAGAACGTGCTCTGCTCCCGGCACTGCTTTCTTAGTGGTATGAGGTTCCCATGTGTCTCTGCTCGCTTCTGTCTTTTATATCTCAAAGGAGATTGGCTTCAGGCACTATCTAATCTTGTAGACCTCATCAGTATAACTGCCACGAGTCCATCTTATTACATCATAGTGATAAGATTTACAACACATAAGGAAATCACATCAGATTACAAAATGGTACACAATCATACAATACTGGGAACCATGACCCAGCCAAGTTGACAGATATTTTGGGGGGACACAATTCAATCCATGACAATGTCTACCACATGACTTTTGCTAATGCAACTTTTTACAGGTGTACAATCATACTGACAGCAGTTACATTAATTGGCTGGGCAACTGTATCCTTAATCAATGCAATTTTTTCCATCCCTGTAAACTCAGTGCTCCATAAACAATAACCCCGCCTCCCCCCCTCCTTCTTGCCCAGGTAACCACTAAGAAACTTTGATCTCTGTCCATTTGCCTGTTCTTGTCTTTTTATGTGAGTGAGGTCATACAATATTTGTCCTTTTGTGATTGACTTATTTCACTTAGCATAATGTCTTCAGGCTCTATCCATACTGTAGCACGTACCAAGACTTCATATCTCCTACTGGCTGAGCAGCATTCCATTGCATGTATGTATCATATTTTGTTTACCCCTTCATCTGTTGAGGGGCACTGAGGTTGTTTCTGCCTTTTGGCTATTGTGAATAGCGCTGCAACAAACATTGGTGTACAAATCTCTGTTTGAGTCTCTGCTTTCAAGTCTTTTGGGTTTATACCTGGGAGTGGAATTGCTGAGTCATATGGTAGCTGTAGTTTTAGTTTTTTGAAACCATAGGGTTTTCAAGGCTGTGACTTTTTGCAAGCAGATCACCAAGCCTGTCTTCTGAGGTGCCCTGGGTGCATCTGAACCGCCAACCTTTCGGCCGGTAGTTGAAAGCGTAATCATTTGCTCCACCCAGGAACTCCTAAATGGTTCTATGTTGTTGTTAGGTGCTGTTGAGTCGGTTCCGACTCACAGCCACCCCGTGTACAGCAACGAAACACCGCCCGGTCCTGCGCCACCCTCACAATCATTGTTATGCTTGAGCCCATTGTTGCAGCCACCGTGTCAATCCGTCTCACTGAGGGTCTTCCTCTTTTTTGCTGACCCCCTACTTTACCAAGCATGATGTCCTTCTCCGGGGACTGGTCCCTCCTGATAAAATGTCCAAAGTATGTGAGACGAAGTCTTGCCATCCTTGCTTCTAAGGAGCATTCTGGCTGTACTTCTTCCAAGACAGATTCGTTCGTTCTTCTGGCAGCCCGTGGTGTATTCAATATTCTTCACCAAGACCGTAATTCAAAGGCATCAGTTCTTGGTCTTCCTTATTCATCATCCAGCTTTCACATGCATATGAGGTGATTTAAAACACCGTTGAATTAAAGCAGCGGTCAAGAAATCAAAACGTCGCATTGCATTGGGCAAATCTGCTGCAAAAAAACCTCTGTAAAGTGTTAAAAACAAAGATGTCACTTTGAAAACTAAGGTGCAGCTGACCCAAGCCCTGGTGTTTTCAGTCGCTTCGTGGGTGTGTGAAAATGGTTCTATAGGAGTTGACAACACCCAGAGTGAACCCTCATAT